CCAAATTATACCCCTAGGATGTGATACAGCCATCCAACAGCTGCCTTCTGGGTGCCCCAGATAGGCCCACTTGGGGCACACTATGCGTGGTGTGGGGGAGGCTACAGGGAGAGAAGAGTCGAGTGTGTGGGATGGAGAACAAGCCACTGACTTGGAACAAAGACTGACAGGAACCAGAGTCCAGGCTGGAAGCTCCTGCTACTTCGGAGTTCCCACACCAGGTTCCTGAGCACAGAGATTTATGCCATATTTAAATCTCCAAAGTCAAGTGGGCTCAGGAAATTGTAGGAAAGTAAACATATTATTTAACCACTAGGTGGGTGGTCATCACATATGTTACATATCTGAAAATTTAAGTCGGAACAGCTTGAACTTTTCCGTATCTAATTCCCAATAGTAGTTCGAGCTGAGTTAGTATTGTTTATTAACAAAACCAAGGCTTCTTCTTGCCTCCTAAAAAGGGCAGTTAGCCCTTTGATATAAATCTATATATATATAAAAAAATGCTTTGTTTCCAAAATCATAAGGAAGAGAGCTCTTTTTTTTTTTTTCCCCCTAATTTAGGATTCTTTGTTTCCACATGTAAACAGAAAAAGATGCCCGGTCTGATTTTTAGAAAGCAGGTTTGCGGAAAAGGCGGTTAGAAAAATCTCATTTGTGCCTTTATATACAGAAATCTGGAAGAAAAAGCACTGGTGGACCAAAGAATATATTGAATGCTAAAGGTAATTGTCATGATGACTCTGACTATAGCCACAATCAAAAGATACTAAACTCTAAACTCACAGTTGAGTTGGTAACTTCTTTTTCATGTCTACCCATTATATAACAAGTCATAGAGTAAATGGTCATTTCAAGCATGATTTATCAAATTCCCACATTCACAATGAGCTGGACCTACTTTCTACATTCCACTTTTAAAAAGTCACTAAAAATTCTTTGGCTCACAGGAGTAAAATTAAACATCCTGCCATGGATAATGGTAAGTGAAATTACAATCTGCAAACTTGGGTATAAAGATTAGCCTCACTCCAAGGCATTTCCAAATAAAATAACTTCAAATGATAAACTTTTTCTTTAATATTCCTTATGGACAAAGAAATTCCAATAACAACTTTAGGAAAAAAACAACTATACTTCTATGCAGTATTAAAATAGTAAAAATATTTTTTTTATCCATAAAACTACAATTATTATCAAGGGTTTACTAAAGCATTAGGATTTTAGAATCTATACTGTCTAATTTAGCATACTGTAGTTCTTTGGCTAAACACATAAACTCATTATAATATCAAGACAGAATTTTTACGGCAGCAAGCAGCACTCCTAAACATGTAAAAACATGTTACAGGTTATAAAACAGCAAAAGATTTTCAAGTGCAAAGTAATCTTAGATTAAAACCGGCATTAAGTTCTAATAAGCACATTCACTTACCATATAACACTAGAGATTGGACTGGTTGTTAAAAACAAAGAAGGAAAACAGAAGTAGGACACTAGAGAATAATACAGTATGTGTGTGTATATTTAAACATGTATATATGTGTATTTATACATGTATATGCGTGTATATATACATATTTTTAATATATGTAATATATTACATTGTATATATTTTAATATATAATAAAATATATATATATATATTTTTTTTTTAATAGAAAATTCCAACCAGGCCTATGGGAAGCAGGAACATCTCTCTCTTTCTCTCTCAGAACTGCTTTCATTTTGACCCAAATTTGCTGGCTTACTTGAAATGATTTTACCTTTTTCATCACAAATTCATTTGAAGTAAAACTGTAGAATCTTAGAAATTTAGAGTATCAAAAACTATTTATCTTAAGGGAATGGATCCCATCATTACTTAAATTTATATCCTATTTCCTTCTTTCTTTTTTTTTTTTGTCATTCATTTGTTAAATTTCCCAAATTTAGTCTAATGCCAACCAGAGATCTGCCTGGGAAACTTGCCTTAGCAGGCACATGTCCAGATCAAAAAATAGCCTATAGCCTATCTTATGGAAGAAATATACACAAACATTTACACATCATACAAAATAAGGTTGAAATGGGTAGGGCCACTTGATTGACATCCATTTGTCACTTTCATTGCAAAACATCCTGAGCAGCTTTCAATATGCTTAGACAAATTTAGATGAGTGGAAATGCTGACTAATGATGCCATTATCTATATACCAAATATATATGAAGGCCTGAAAATCCTGAGTCATTCATGTGAGCTACTAAAATGACAGGGGAGGAGAACCTAGAAAAATGATAATGAAATGTCATGAGAGGGCAAATTAATAAAAATAAATAGCATTCAGATATGTAAAAAGACAATATACGCTTAGTTTTTGGGAAGAGATATAAGTCTAGTAAACAAGGCCAAGTCTTACTAATTGCAAAAAATGCACTATGTACAGGCTTTTAGCAACAAAACTATTTTAACCATCACTAACTAAGGGTTGTTATTTTAGGAGAATGAAGTCAATACATTTGTTTTCCTAAGGCAGGCAGGGGCAGTATTGTGCTATTCATGAACTTCATTAATATTCATTAATTTTTAAAGCAGTTTGGTTAGCTTTGGCCATTATCTATGCAGATATTTTGCCTTTAAATAAAAATAATTTCAAGAACATCATTATTCAAAAACATAATTAGCATGAAATTCAAAACCTACATTTTCATTAGCAGATATTATTCACTGAAGGGTATATATGTTTCAGATAGGTCTGTTTTAATTGAATTCCTGGGGTAAAATTCTAAAAATCATAGTGACCAAAATAACCTAAATGTAACCAAAAGAAAACTGAAAATACTTTTGAAAAATGTTCAAATTAATTTCCACTTTAAAGAATACCATAGTTGACCCAATTAGCTCTGCAAACCAATTCAAATTCAGTTGTTTGACATTCTTTAGCATTTCACAGTAGACTATTTTCACCCGTCCAGCACCTTAGATCCCCAAAGATCCCAGTGCACATTTAGTGATATTTACCTTATGAAGTAACTAAATCCAGATGAGCATAGCGCTCACATCACTGTAAAAAAGAAATTGTTTCCTCATGCTTACAGCTCCCATTGGGGAACTAGAAACTGAAAACTCTGAAAATTATCTTTGTGCAACCAGGAAATTGTGGACAGAAATGGAAAATAGTTTTATTTGTAAATAAGCCCAACCATGGAAACCATATACTACCTTGTTCTGCAAAAGTCCTCTAGCCTTTTATAAATCAGGTTTTTTATACTGACAGATGAACAACCAGGGCAAGTAATTCATGCATGTGGCGTTGGAAATGGAATCCTCCACATGTCTTTGTGGATTCCTGTCCACACAGAGGTACAACCATGTTGAGTAGTACTTTGTGGATTATAAGAAAATAAATAAATAAAAATTAAAATGCCATGCAAAGAAGTTTAAATAATGCAGGGAAATTTTTGAGGCATGGCCAACTGGAAAATTCACTGTAGTGAATAGCTAAACTTTCAAGAAAACACATTTGTGTTGGTTTTTTGTTTTGTGTGTGTGTGTGTGTGTGTGTGTGTGTAAAGAACTCCCTGCTCCATACCTCCATTTCAATCAGTTTGATTTGTGTTTGTCAAAAGTATCTTCTAGTCCCTGAGAAATACCTGAATGGCATTTTCTTTAGATTTTGCTTTTGGCTTTTTGTTTTTGTTTTGTGTTTAAGGTAAGCTGGCCCCTTGGGACCAGTACAGTTTTTTTTTCCTGTTAAGGACATTTTGAAAAATAGGAAAAAGTGTCTTCCTTCTTGTTATCAGAGATACATGACTGTATACCTAATTTTTTCTAAAAACGTGGTTAATAACAGCCAACAAACAAGAAGAGTAAATGGAGCACCTGGCTTCCTAAATGGATTAAACCTGGCCCACAATATCCTCCTGAGATAATGGGTAATATTCTCTTTGGAGACATTATGCACTTTGACTTATTTTTGAAGAATATAAAAAAATTTTCCTGCCCCCCAAAGTGGATAGATTTCCAATTCAAGGCAGCAAGCCTTGGGTCGCCTACTTTAGGTATACCCAACCCTCTCAGCCGCCTACACCTGACTTTACATTAGGTGGGGGATACCAGCCATCCTCGAATGCCCTTATGCGGCCTTTCAAACTAGATACAAAGTTAATATCAGCGTCTGAGCTTCCAGCTCCTCCAGGAAAACCTGTGGCCCCCAAGTGGCACTGCTTCATAAAAGCCTAGTCAGGCCTTGTCCTCTCCAGCAGTCCAAGCAGGATTGATCACGTCCGGGTAAAAGTACGGAAAGGAAAGGGTTAATCAGCATCCTCCTCTCTCCCTCCTCCCCCAAAGCTGGGCGGGGGGGGGGGGGGGTGCCGCGCCGGGAGCATCTCAGCGGGGGAGCAACTGGAAACCACAAACACCCAAACTGGGTAGCAGCAACTTGAACTAAACCCGAGACCTGGCTTAGGGAAAGGAGTCAGTTAAGTTTAGACCGAATGGTTTAATCAAGGTATCAGAACAGACCCATTAAAGACAGAAAAGGTAGCACATCCCTGCCCTCAACTCGCAAGGATCTCTTTTATGTTGCAGTTGAAGCCTCAAAACACATTTTATGACCCTAATGCCCTTTATTCCGAAAGATCTCAAGAGGTGTCTACAGAAATGTCCGGCAAGAGTGCAGAAAGAGCAGTGAGAGTGTAGAAAGCCCCCCTTCCAGGGCGTCTTTACTTGGCCCGCGCTTCCAGGTAACCTTTGTTGCGTGGTTGGGGGACGCAAAGCGACAATCTTGGCCCACGACAGGCGAGAGGCTGCAGGACCAACTCGCCAGCCCCAGCCCCCTACCCACCTACACCGCGCCCAGCTCCAACCACCCGCACGCCCCTCCGCAGCCCCTTCCCCACTGCCCACCCCGGGGGCTGCCCCTGATCTCCCCCAGAATTCCCACAGGCGCTCTAAGCGCCCACCAGCAAATTTCTAACAGCCCCAGCCTTCCAGGAAAGAAAAAAAAAAAGACCATGACATCACGGGCAGGTTTATTTGGGTTTGTTTGTTTGCTTGTTGGCTCGATTAAATACTCGTAGAAGGTGAACGTACCCCACACAGGAGAAGTTTGATGTTGACAAACTTCTGGTGGCAGCGAGACTGTGTCAGCACAACTTCCGGGATAATGAGAGCTGCTTTGCAGGGAGCGCGGCAGCGGCGGCGGGAGGCGGTCGCAGGACGGAACAGCAAATGCTATTCAGCCCGAGCAGTTTCAAGCCGCCCGAGCTGGGGAATTACTGTAGTCGAGCTACGGCTCTTACCACCGGCGCTGGATCTGGGCGCACGTTAGGGGGGGAAGCTGCAGGCACAGGGCGCCGAGAGGGGAGCTTTCAAGTTACTTTGCTCCATCCCTGCACCCGGCAGAGGCTTGCAGGCTGCGTGGTAGCTGCAAACATCTTGTTCCCTGCTTCTTTGGGCGGCCTCCCTGGAACCAACCAACTTTTCTCTCCTCAAAAACTCCCTCTTTGTTTCAAATAGGACTCTCCAAAATTTATTCTTGGGAAGACTGACAGCCGGGGTCAAGAAACAGCTGTTGAAGTTAATGTTTCTTCCTCCCACTTCGTCTGATGGTTGTGCCCTGCCAAGACAAAGTGAGAGGCACTGCCTGGTGGCTCTTTAAACAGACATGCATTTAGCCAAAAAAAAAAGGGGGGGGGGAGTGTGTGTGTTGAGGGGGTATATTTTCCTGCTTAACATACAATCTGATCAGAAATGCGACAGCATGTGCCTTTCAACTTGTGCTGATTACTTGCTGAAAAGATGTTGCAGCTTTTAGTTTTGAACACTTTGAGCAGTGGGGGCAGGGATGGCGGGAGATGTGGTGGCCACTTTTCATGCTTTGGCAAAGGGGCAAAAATTTTAAACCTTCCTCTCACCCACCTCTTACCCTCTAAGAATGGTAGAATGGCCTGGGGGAGGGAGAAAGAGTGGCATTCCTTTGCAAGGTTTAATTCACATTTCATAATTCAAGTCATTATGCAGAACAAGAGCTTGCCTGGAGCTAGGCAGATTGTTTTTATTTGGAGACCTAGACCAAACCTGGCCCGGTGCTACCAGCTCTTGGTGGCGCTTGGTGGCTTTCTCCAGATTAGGCCTGTCTCCTCTTCCCTTTCCCAGCACTACTACTTTTGCCTTTGCTCTGGGGATATACTCTGAGGGAAGCTACCCTCTTCTTTCTGCTGCTTTCTCCGTGAAGATTGGTTAGCACAGCCCTTTCCCTGCTTGCTCTGCTTTGTGTAGAATGAATGCCCCGTGGACTGCTGAGGGACTCCTTGGGGTTGTCCTCCGGAGTCTCAATCCCCTAACTGAGCCCTCCCCAGGTGTCCAGCCTCCGCAGTGGGAGTGGGTGGATGGGAACTCTGTTCCTTCCACATCAGAAAGCTTAAGCACTCTTCCAGCATACCCATTCTCCTTTGGGAATGCTCCAATCACTTGGCCTCTCTCAGACACAATCATATGAAGACATAAAAGGCCTCCTTCCTCACCGCCAGGTTATCCTGTCACCACATCGCAATGCAGTGCTATCACAAAGTGATATTGCATCAGGCCCAGGGATATTTTAGGAAGCTCTCGAGCTAAGTCCAACAAGCCTTTCGTGCAGGCATCAGGGCCACCCTGCCAAAATCAGGGCTGCGGAGCTGCGGGACAGGTGGTAGTGATGTCTTCTCTATTCTCAGCTCCATTACCCACTTACCCGCCCCCCCCCATTCTCCTAACCAATCAGATCCACTTGGTAGCTTCCTCACCCCTCTCTTTACCTTGCTCCCAGATGCCACCACCTTTGTGTTCCCTCATAGCTCTCTGCAAAGTGTTCAGGTCCACTTTGTGATGTATTTCCCATTTTTTCTGCCTGTCGTGGTCATTCTCTGAGATCTTAATTAGTATTTGTTCTTATTAAGTATAAATGGACTGAATTACACATGGACTTGCATGGGCTGCTCCACACACAGCCTCTGGCTTGGGTGTCTGCCGGCCTCCTTGGCTTGTTTGACCTGGGTCAACTTGTCTTATTCTCTCGGACTCCGGGTTGCCCAGCTGGGCTGGCACAATGTAGCGGCCCAGAGTCAGTGCAGCACCCTCCCCAAGTACCCCCTTCTTGGAGTCCTGCTCATGCAGTCCAGCAGCCAACTGACTGAAATTCCTTCTGCTTTATTGTTCTCTGTCCTTAGAGAGGCCAACTCTCAGCATAGAATGGGGCTGTGAGGCTAGACCTCCGCAGATCCTGAAGTGGTAATTCCCCACTGCTGGCTCCTGCAGTTTTATAACTCCTTTTTTCTGAGACTGACAGACATAAACCTCCAGTGTAGAGGCTTGCAACAGCACCCTAAAAGACTTCTTTGTGTGGAAATGTAACCTTAGGGCAAAGTCAGCCTCACTCTAGGAAAGGTACATTCTCCTGCTACAGGGAAGCACTGGGCTGGGAAAACGCGAGGATTTCTCCCGCGATGACTCCCGAGAGCCTCTCAGGGACATTTTTATTTACTATTTTTTAGTTTGGGGGTGGGTGGGTTGGGGCATTGGAAATACTGTAAGTGGAGACCTGTAGTGGCTGTCCAGGGAACTCACATGCAATCAGAGGAATCAGATGTCTTTCCTTTAGGGGGTGGGTCTCTAAATGCAATCACTCCCGAAGCACCCACACACTCTCCAGGTCAGGATGTCCCCTGGTGGGGTGGCAGTTAGCATCGTTTGCTACTCTTGGATCTAATGCTACCTTGCCTAAATGGAATGCCTTTGGATCACTTAGAGAATCTGATATATTTATGAAGGTGTTGGGTTAGACAAATTACTCCAAAAAGCAAGGGTGAAAAGATACAGAATCTTAATTTATCATGCAGGATTAAAGGCAGATTTAAATCAGGTAGAATTATTAAGGGATTTAGAGCCCAAGTCATTTTCCAAAGAGGAAAAAGGACTAAAGCATCCTCTTTGTTGAAATAACGTCAAGAAAGTAGCATCTTATGTTTGGAGGTTTGGTTGTTGTTGTTGTTTTTTAATCTACCTTTTAAATGTTTACTTATATTTTCTATCAGTCAAATAGAACAGTACTAGGAAATTCGGTTATCAAATGTATATGATTAGGCATTAACTATTCCATATAGACAAGCACAAAAAAGGTGAGATGAAAGTGTACTCTTGTCATCACAGAGAGCTCCCTGTAGGAACTGAGCCAGTGCCTTGATTAAGGGATAGGTAAGATATAACTAGTTAGAGGAGATGAATCTGGAATCAGGGAGAGGTTAGAAAGATAACCAGTATAGTTCCTATGGAATTTAGTTGAGATGTTCAGTCCTGTAGCCCCAGGAACTGGAGTTATTAGGATAGAGAGTTTAACACAATGCTTTTAGTCAATGTTTTTGAAAAATGTATTCTCACAAAGTCAAGAACATGGATAGTGAAGGAAATGTTCACAAGGAGATGTTCTTAGTGTTTGAGATTACAGAATGTGGACAGAAATAAAAATACACAATGCAATTATTTTCCCTTTTCCCTTTTCCTCCTAAATCTAGACAGAAGTTTAATTCAGGATTAAAAGGCCCATGGATCTCCTCTAGCTTCTCCTTCAGTTATCCCATCCATACTCCAGTTCTGGTTTTGGACAGAGCTACATAGTCCTTTGTAGGGAATTGCATGAACTCCTGTGCTAGTTTTCTAATGTGGGAAAATGTCTACTAGGGAGGCTAAGACCACCAAACTAGTTTCATTATGACCCAAGGTACACTTAAACCTAGCCCTTCAGTGCTGGGCAACTGGCCCAGCACAGTCTTCCTCTATAGTGCTCATTAAAATGTTATTTACATTTTACAGTATGGTCCCAAGCCATAAGTTGGGATTTTATCTTGGCAAATAGAGAAAGAATACTCTTGTGATATCTGGTCTTGCAAAGTTTTAACTTCTACTATGGACCTGCTGGTGATTTGCAAAACAAAGTCATAGCATATTGAAAGAATCTTCCATTTCAGTTCAAAATTGTTGGCCAGGAAGTGAAGAATAAAAGAAAAACCCATGATCACAAAATTAAACTTATTAGCCAAATAGATTTTAACTTTTGCCTCCTCTTAAAAGTGAATTTAATGTTTGCCAAAAGCACACAATCAACAACTCTGAAGAAAATAAACTTTATACTTTGGTCCTGAACCTACTGCAAAGGTGGTGAGCTCATCTTCATAACTAACCTCCATCTTTTTGCCTTGGAACTCTCATTCATGTGACCAGAATTATTCCAGATCAAAAACAAAATCATTGGGGTACCTGGGTGGCTCAGTCGATTAAGTGTCTGCCTTTGGCTCAGGTCATGATCCTGGGGTCCTGGGATCAAGCTCTGCATCTCTGCACTGGGCTCCTGCTCAGTGGGGAGTCTGTTTCTCACACTCCCTCTGCCTGCCTCTCCCCCCTGCTTGTACTCTCTGTGCCTCAAATAAATAAATAAAATCTTTAAAAAAAAATCATTAATCCCACTTTTAGGTGAACCAAACTGTCTGGATTCTTACCTTAACAGGCCAAGTTAATTTAACATTTTAATGATGTGTTTCTGGCATTGTTCATGCTTCATAAAGAGTAACTCACTTTATTTGACTCAGGGCAACAAGGCTAAACAAGTGATTCAAAAAAATGAATCTTTTCCAGGTTTGGAAATTAAGTTTCCTTGAGTTCTTCTGAGACAACAAAGATTCTTCAGAATCTATAAGTCCAACTATATGATGCTACCACGTTTTCAAGACAACCATTAAGAATAACACCTAGATAAATAAAAACTTTAAAAAAAAAGAAAAGAATTATATCTAGAACCAGTTTTGAGAATAATGTTTCGCAACATTCTCATGAAGGCCAGATGAAAATCAGAGGCCATCTCTAAAATGGCATTAGGCCAAACATCAGACTTCTAGAGATGCTGGACATCTTGCCATGTGTCATCACAATCAAATCCTGGATAGGGTATTCTCATCTGAGTTTCACTGACTACCAGTAAGGGGCATGTGCAGAATAATAAGTGATTCAACTTTAGTCTCCAGTTAGAACCTAACATGCCTAATAACATTCCAGGGAAATGGGTGTTGGGAATGTATATCAAAGATGGCATAAGCCCTTCACTCTCAAAAGCTTGGTGATAACCAGGTGGGGAGCCACCTTAATTCTGTGGTTTATAAAATTCTAGGATTATTGTGATTATTATTATATGGAATTCTCAGCTGAAAACAATGAGCCCTTTCTCAGTTGCATGGTGAACAATGAGGTCAACTACAGAGGATTTTTTAAAAGCAAAATTTAGAGGAAAGAAACAACTTCACTGACACAAGAGAGCTTTTGTTGACTAACAGCAATCTCAGACCTTGACAGTTACACAGTACCTTTTAGGTTCCAAAGGTACTTACTTACCCCCCAAAAAGATCATAATAATATAACATTTTCTTTTTTGCCTAATCAACAGGTGAAACCAGAAGGTGTCTTCCCATCTCTGTTTAAAGAAGTCATGTGCCAGTCTGCAGAGAAATGCATGTATACACAGGGAGTCTTCAAATTTATATCAAGAGGCTTCCAATGTCATGCATCTAATTACATTCCAAATATCTAAATATAAATATAATCATGCAATTATCTAAATATGATAATGCAAATTAATAAATGCCATCACTTTTCAGCACTGCACTGGCAGTTGACTTTTTTTTCAGGGCCATTTCTACAAAGAAGCCAAGTTATTATCTTTTCTCAGGATTTATTGCAGATGTGACGATTATAGAGAACCATAAGATTTTGCTTAAGATGTGAATACCAGGTGGATGGCTGAGCCCACTCACTAATCAAGTGATTTGTTCTCAGACAATAATGTTTGGGATTCTGATGCTTGCCTCAGCAAAACTGCAGATTTTTTTTTCCCATAGACCTTTGAGGTTGTCCATAAGTCATTGTTATGTTCAATGCCAACTCCTCACATTCTCAGAGATAAAGAGGGCAAAGAAGGAGAGAAAGAATGTGTAGCTCATTATTCACAAGTTATTTTCCTATAATTTAGGATATTGAGAGTGCTTTTTAGAAAATTTTCAAGGCAGTGACTCCCAGACATTTTCCATTAAAAAGGGCTACTTTTGTGTTTCAAAAGTAGAGGATATAAGAAGCAGTTTGTTTTCACTCTGCAACAAGGGAAGGGACCTAAATAAGTTGTCTTGTATTTCATGATGACCACAGTAGTGAACTAAAACCAGTTTTTTTCTCTATTCAATTCTTCTGTGATATTATTTTGCAAGATCATACATATAATAGACTTTGCCTAAAAGATCAAATGATTTTTTTTAAATGTACACTTTTTTAAAGTTTTTAACTTTCCTGGAAAGACTCATAGATCCAAGCTAAACTCTAATGATAAGGTCACACTTTCCCTGTATTTTAAGGAGTTCTAAAGAACAAGTTGGTACAATTAAGTGGTAAATATTATGGCACACTACATTATCACTATAGGTTATGTTATATAGCACATATAAAGCACTTTTATTCTAGATATTGAATATGCCATACAAAGTGACTCTGTAATTGAAGTATATCAACAGCTAATTTTTATTTTTTTAATTTTTTAAATTTTTTTAAAGATTTATTTATTTGAGATAGAGTGACCAAGAGAGAGGGCACGAGAAGGGTGAGAGGAGGAGAAGCAGGCTCTTTACTGAGTAGGAAGCCTGCCGTGGGGCCTGATCCCAGGACCCTGAGATCATGACCTGAGCCGAAGGCAGATGCTTAACTGACTGAGCCACTCAGGCGCCCCAACAGCAAATTTTTAGAATTTTGTTGAGCTAACTTCAGAATCCAAAGCACCTCTGATTATTCACTGCTTAGGCAGAAGAGAGGCAGAAGAGAAAGTGCTACTCTGTTTATGTGTTTCAACTCTGCCCTAAATGGATTATTTCCAGGAGTGAAAAGGAAGACCAAGCCTACAGAAATCTTGGCAACTGCTTTTCCAGGAAGACTATAGAGATTTCATGGATCTTACTGTTGTTTACAAGGAGGTATTACCTTTCTCCAAATTCCATTCATACAGCTGGTTTTCTCTTTTCTCCTGGAGGTAAATTTCCCAGTTAATATACACATTGATCAGTGCCATGCCAAACATCTCTTCCTTCCACGTGTAGCAGGTGACAATTAGCCCATAATCTGCAATGAGAAAGGAGTGGATCATAAAAATTAAGAGTAGGCTCTAGAGTCACAAATGCTGAATTCAAATTCTGATTCTGTCCTTAGCAGCAGTGTAGCCTTGAGTCAGTGTCAGGTTCCTCATTCACTAAAACGGGGCAGAAGAGCAAAAAAATACAAACCCCACTGTTCACCATCTCATTTCATCAGTATCCCCATCAAAAGCCCCCTGAAGCCCTCGCAAGATCTGAATGGAGCTCTAACTGGTCTTTGGACAAATGTATGACTTTATCTTCCTATGTAGAATGAAGAGCTGCTTTCTTCTCTCAAGATTAATATCTATGCTCAATTATGACCTTCATCTAATGTTTGGACCCACTGAATTCTAAGCAGGAGCAAAGACTCTGAAAACTTAGCTAGTCAATTTCTCCACCTTGGCACAATTGTACTATCTTGCTCAGACCTTGGTCACTGATGACCAGGTGCTGTTGCCTACTTCATTCAGTGAGGAGCTTCTTACCTTCTCAACTAAACTGTTAACTCTTGAGGAAAGGCTCCAGTAGTCTTATAGATCCTTATATTCCTCTGAGCACTAAGTATAGCACAGTATCATGAAAATAACAGATTCTCAGTAAATGTCTGTGGCTTGATTATTTTGAGAATGAGCTCTGGGGTGTTTATAACAAAACAGGTTCATATTGAAGAATCCCATTATGCCCCTTCAAAATGGGCCTGTGAAAGCTCTTTCTGAGAGTACGCTAAAGTTTGGACACACTAATGTAGTGATAGTCCATTTTTCTTTTTCTTTTTCCTTTTTTAACCTCTGGCCATTTCACAGCTGTATTAGTTAAAAGATATTTTTAATTGGCTTTCATCATCTTTGAAAGTGTAATAAATACTCATTAAAAACAAGGCTACCGGGCGCCTGGGTGGCTCAGTCGGTTGAGCGACTGCCTTCGGCTCAGGTCATGATCCCAGGGTTCTGGGATCGAGTCCCACATCGGGCTCCCTGCTCTGCGGGGAGCCTGCTTCTCCCTCTCCCACTCCCCCTGCTTGTGTTCTCTCTCTCGCCGTGTCTCTCTCTGTCAAATAAATAAATAAAATCTTTAAAAACAAAAAAAACAAGGCTACCAAGATGAGCATTCCCCCTCCCCCACACACCTATTAGAAATGACTGCTAATAGTTAGAGTATACTTTTCCAAGTTGTTTTATTAATTTATATTTTTGATGCATACACTAACATTTATTATTATTTCCTGGACACATTGTTATGCTATTTATATCTTTTAGAACTTGTTTTTTTCATTTAACAATGCACTGTGAAATGTTTATCCATGTCAACATACACCTCATTCCTTTTTAGTGCTGCATTATATAGAAATTTCTTGTTTTCCAGCTATTCATTATCATTATCTGATTTACAGTAGTTGTTAAGTTGTGTAGAAAAGCAAAAATTGGTCATAACAAAAAAATATCCACTAGTAAACTGACCACTTACTAAATTAGTTCCCACTTAAATAGCCCTCCTGACTTATTACCAGCATCTCTCCCCACCGAGTCAGTCAATTTTGCTGATGGTAGATGTTATAAACATCTGACAATACAGTGTAAATAAAATGCATTTCAGTGGCCATGTAAGATTGCTAATCTTGCAAAAGATGCAGAATTTTATGAAGTCATTGAAAGCGATTTTGGAGAACTGTTCCATAGGCAAATGAGTATCTGGCAGTGTTAGACCAGTTAACAATTAAAGATGAGAAAAACAACAAGGATGATAAGAGGATAAATTCTTCAAAAGGAGAATTATTTGAATATCAAAGGATTAAGAGAAGCTCTCAGGAAAATTGATGAAGCCTTCACATCTTTTTTCAAAATGACCTTTGTATGATTCTGCTATAAAAGTCAGCATGAAGTGAAGGGTGTCAAAATTTGCTATCATATAATTTTGCTGGGAAAATTATCCCCCTCACCAAATCAACACTTGATTCATTCTTTGTTTATTCTAAAAATTAGAGCATTGTTGCAATTAGAGTTGTTACATGTGTGTCTTCAAAGATAAATCACATTTAAAGATAAGATAATCTTTTATTTTTTCAAAACAAAGTCTCAATCAAACCTTTTTTTAAAATTCTTTATTATACAACGGTAGACCCTATTTATTACTTTTGCAGCTTTCAACGGTCATATTATGGCAAACAGAAGCAACAGACGCTGAAAATAAGGCTTCTAATAGACTAATCAGATTCCCTAGTTCTCTCTCCTTGAGGCATTTAGAAGCAGGACTGGCCACTTTGCAAGGAGTAAAGCCCCAGGGTGGTTGGGTAATTCAGGGGAGGGAAGAGGCCTTAAGAAAGGAGACAGGCAGTGGACTTCCTCTGGCACTAATCGGGCACATAGATGTTCGGGCCTAATGAAATTTGAAAAAAATAAAAACGATGTAACCTTATTTGTGTCCAAGCTGGTAAAGCAAGTTATACCAGTTAAATGTGGGTATATCAGGATTTATTTTTAGCAGTTACCTACTGACTGATATTTGGGTTGTTTCCAATTTTTTGCTACTATAAGCCACGCAGCAATGAACAACAGTGTACAGTTATATCTTGGTACACTTGTACAAGCATCTCTGTAAAAAAAAATTCCTAACTCCTAGGGTTGGAAAAAGGTATATTAAAAATGTTAACAAGCACTAAGTAACAAATCCTCCTACCATTTAATGCCACCTACAGTATCTGAGAATGCCAGTTTTTCCATACCATTCACAACGAGACTATTATCAGTTTTTGCCAATCTGACTGCTATATATATTGTTGTTTTCATTGTCAATAATATAAATTCTTGATGTGCAAGATATATATTGTTCACTGACTGCTTAGAATCTTTAGGAAGAGCCTCATTATAGACTCTGGAAAATCTGCATGATAGATGCAGGGGGGAGATCATCTTATCTCTGGTAATGGGTAGGAGCTAAAAAATTGAGCTCAACATGCATTTTTTCTGTTTAAAAATCCCTTTCTGAAACAATTGTAGTCATTGCTTACACAAGCTAAAGTGTTTATAGTCAGTAGTGGAAGACGTAGATAATAGTTTTTGCAAATTCCTGATTTCAGGACTGTGAGATCTTTTTTTTTAAGATTTTATTTATTTATTTTGAGAGAGAGATAGAGTGAATGTGAGTGGGGGGAGGGGCAGAGGCAGAGAGAGAGAGAGAGAGAATCTCAAGCAGACTCCATGCTGAGCATGGATCCAGACACGGGGCTCGATCATGAGACGACCTGGGCCGAAATCAAGAGTTGGACACTCAACTGACTGAGCCACCCAAGTGCCCCAGGACTGTGAGATTTTTTTACAGACTTCAAAATATGAGACTTGATAAGGTCAGTAGATCCTGAAACTGGATGCTTGGTGTCATCCAAGCCCACACTCTTTCCGTCAGGATTTTGGTCACAGAAAATGTCAGCATTCTAACTGAAAAATTATTACATATATTCAGGACCTAAAAAAGAAACAAAAAATACCCACTAGAGTATGCATTTGTCACAACCCATCAAATTGTAGATTAAGATGTGTGCATTTCACTGTGTGTAAATTTTACATAAAAAAGAACCCATAAAGTCCTCAAAAAATTAAATATAGAATTACCATATGATCTAGCAATTCCACTTCTGGGAATATACCCAAAAGAAGTGAAAGCAGGGACTTGAACAGACATTTGTACACCCATGTTCATAATAACAGCATTATTTCACAATAGGCAAAACATGGAAGCAACTCAAGTGTCTGTCAATGGATAATGAATAAACAACATTTACTATGTACATACGATGGAATATTATTCAGCCTGAAAAAGGAAGGCAATTTTGACATATGCTGCAATGTGGATGAACCTTGAAGACATTACGCTAAATGAAATAAAAACATAAAACAACAAGTATTGTATGATTTATATGGGTACCTTGAGTATTCAAATTCATAGGGACAGAAAATAGAATGGTGGTTGCCCGGGGCAGGGGGGAAAGGAAGGGCGTGAGGGGTTACTGTTTAATGGGTACAGAGTTTCAGTTAGGGAAAATGTAAATTCTGGAGATAGACAGTGGTGATGTTTGCACAACTATGTGAATGTACTTAATGCCACAGAATGGTATAGTTCCAAATGATTCAAATGGTAAATTTTATGTTGTACATATTGTACCACACTAAAACAATTTTTTTAAACCCATAAGCAAATACTGAATTCTAAAGATTTTATTTATTTACTTGACACAGAGAGAGAGACAGCTAGAGAGGGAACACAAGCAGGGGGATCGGGAGAAGGAGAAGCAGGCTCCTGGCCAAGCAGGGAGCCCAATGCGGGGCTCGATCTCAGGACCCTGGGATCATGACCCGAGCCAAAGGTAAGCACTTAATGACTAAGCCACCCAGGCGTCCCAGCAAATATTGAATTCTAATGCTGAAGTGTTTGGGAGGTGAAATGCACTAATGTCTGCAACGTTTTTTGAAATGTATCAAAAAATGAATGTGAAGGGATAGGTTGATAGAGGAATGAATGCATATGTGTTAAAGTAAATATAGCAAAAAGGGGCACCTGGGTGGCTCAGTCGTTAAGTGTCTCCCTTCGGCTCAGGTCATGATCCCAGAGTCCTGGGATCAAGCCCCGCATCAAGCCCTGCATCGAGCCCCACATTGAGCCCTGCATTGAGCCCTACATCGGGCTCCCTGCTCCGCGGGAAGCCTGCTTCTCCCTCTCCCACTCCCCCTGCTTGTGTTCCCTCTCTCTCTCTGTCAAATAAATAAATAAAAATCTTAAAAAAAAAAAAAAGGTAAATATAGCAAATGTAAATTGCATAATCTGGATGATAAAGGTATAGGTATTCTCTGTGTCATTCTTTCAACTTTTCCATATGTTTGAAAGTTTTCTGGGGCATCTGGCTGGCTCAGTCAGTAGAGCATATGACTCTTAATCTCAGGGATTGTAGGTGTGAGCCCCACACTGGGTGTAGAGATTACTTAAAAGTAAAATCTT